CAAAGTGCTTGAGACCAGACGATGATGATGGGGATGATAATGATGATGTTGCTAGCTCAGATTAACTGAGATGGCCCAAGCAGCGATATTATGCTGATTGCGTATGGTCAAAAGGGATATTCGATAGGGTATTCAGATATGCAGCGAGAGGGAGAGAGAGACAGAGATGGAGATGGAAATAGAGAGAGCGAAAGAAACTAAGAGAGAGAGAGAGAGAGAGAGAAAGAGAAAGTGAGATTAAACTGGTTCTAAATAGTCAAGAGAGACATTTGCAAGTCCAATGATTTGCTTTGATATACCCTGTAATGTATTCAAAGAGTAAATGAGGTATTTTAATGGCTAAAGAGACAATTGCGAATAGAATGGGATTTTCTATATGAATATGTAGGAGAGATAGGGAAAGAGAGAGAGAGAGAGAGAGAGAGAGAGAGAGAGAGAGAGAGAGAGAGAGAAAACAAGAAAAATAGATACAAAGTATTAATAAGGATTTATACAAGTCTAATCGGATTTTCTATATTAAAATTTCTACACACCCAATGCGAATGGGGAAAGAGAAAGAGAGATAGATAAATATAACAATATATCACATTTGAATAGTAACTAGAATATTATGTATTGATTCAAAGTGTTCAAAGGGAATATTTACAAGTTAAACAAATTCCGTATAGCTCTCTATATCATAGTCATTGAGTAATTTCTCCCTAGAGACTATAGCTGCTATAGCTTGATCTGACCTAAATGGAGCCAAAATATTTGCTTACAATTTGCTTCAGCGTAAATATGAAATTGTAAGTCCCGAATTAAAGCCGTTTCGGTTGATATCTATATGTAGATTGAGTTACATTTAAGACACCAAAATTTGAAGAGCTTTTGGTAATCCGAATTGTTAGACTGCGTGTAAAATGTAGGGTTTCCCCACAAGGCCACAAGGCTCGAGTCCCTAACATCCCTACTATTCGGCTGTCTCCGTTTCATTTTCCTTTCCGTTTCATTGTTGGTTTTCCTGCTCCCTTTTGACACTTTACTTTCGACAATATCGATCGGTGCGGAGGCAACATTTTCAGACTTGTGTTGAATGTGCTGCTTCTTGCTAGTTGATGTGGTTCTCGTGCTTGTACTCTTTGTTGTTGTTGTTGTTGTCAGCGTCAGCGTCAGCGACAGCGACAGTAACCACAGTTAACAGTAGCAACTGTTATTGTTGTGGTTATTATTGCTGTTGCTGTTGCTGTTGCTGTCGTGTTCTCAAGTGTTGTCCTCCAACGCATTTACGTTTTGTTGTCATCTATGCACACCTTACACCACCACACCCCACCCCACCCAACCACCAGTGCCCCAAGAGCTCTCCTTGTAACTGTATTTGATAATTTCATGTATTCGCCTGCAGTTACTGCTCGGATTTTGATGGGCCTCGTAATACTCTCGCTTACTGCTTTATCATTTAGTCATAACTCTTGTAATTTGAATGCTATGAATGCGATTATAGTCAGAGTCTTTGGTTTATCATTTTAATCAAATCAATTTACATAGATTAATCATAACTATCATAATAATCCATAAATTAGTTCAACAATTTAGTTAAAAATGAATTGATATACCAAAATACCTTTGTATGGGCATTATCATTTAGTTATAGCTCTAAATATTTGACATAAATATGAAGTCTTTACTTTTAAAGATTAATCAAATAAAAATCATATATCAATGTGGGCCTAATTTGATATCTATATGATATCGGCTGCTAGGAAATATTTCCATATTAGATATATTGTATATATAAATATATGTATATATAGGCTCATACATACATACATATACATGCATATTTGTAAATCTAATGAACGCACTCGCTATCCACTTGTGTTCATGCCACACAGCACGTGTCTGGCAGCACCGTTAGACCCATCTAACCCACCAACTGATGGCTCGACCCTGGACTCTCGTTGGCTGACGCTCCCACAGACAATTGTCAGATAATCACAACGCTCGAGTTGATAATAGCGACGTTGATGAGTTGAAACAAGGTAAGAGGAAGACAGAGAACGAACCACGGAGCAAGGGAGAGGGAGAGAGTGCGAATGGGTGTGGGTGTGGGCGTGGTAGAGAGCGCACAAGTATGCAAAGGGTTATGAGGTCGGTTTTATGTTGCGCTCCCGTTCCCGCTGCATTTCCTTTTGGACTCTTCCGGCCTAGCGTGAAACGTAATCACGTTGACAAAGCCTCGGCATGACTTGACTTGACTTGACTTGATTCAGCGCCCGGATACCTGTGCACATTGTCCGCCCAGGTCTCGGATTGCAGGTCTCAGATTGTGTCCGCACACGCACACACTCACACACAAACACACCTCGTTTCCTCCAATCCTCCTATCCTGTCCAAGCTCATGCTCTCTACTTCTTCTTCTTCTTCTTCCATACACACATGCAATTTCTGCTTTGTTTGACCAGCTAGGCAGATAAGGCAGCTGATTACGCTGGAGTATCCCATTTGTGTGTATTGGGCCGCGTTTATCACTGGACACCCTTGCCCAACCACAGGAAGCTGTCCAGAGCCCAGCTCTTATGCAACGATTCCATCTGCAAACAGGTTTCACTGCGACACTTTCCAGCAAATCCCCCCCGTATAAACAAATTACTGCAGTAATTATTCACAATGTTTGACTCTAAATAAAATGCAGTTAAAGGTATTTGCCTAATCAAGTTGTTTTAATTCGAATTAATAATGTAGTAAATATAAATTATTCTTCTTCACGATAAAAGAATTAGGGAATGATGATCACATATTTTGTTTGTGCTGGAAATGATTACTATTGGAAATATTTACTATTTCTATACTAGTAATAGTGGTAGTATTACCACTATAGTCCATTTGTATA